CTCCTCTTCCTCCTCCTTCTCAGTGTCTTCCTGCTCCTCCTCCTCTTCCCCCTCCCCCTCACATTCCTCCTACTCCTCTTCCCCATCCCCCTCATCATCCTCATCCTCATCTCCCTCCTCCTTTTCATCCACCTTCTCCTCCTCCTCTTCCTCCTCCTTCTTCCCTTCTTCCTTCTCATATGTCTTCCTCGTGCCTCCTCCTCCTCCTCCTGCCTCCTCCTCCTCCTCCTCCCCTCCTCCTCCCTCCCTCCTCCTCCTCCTCCTCGTGCCTCCTCCCCCCCCACATTCCCCCTCTTGCCCCTCATCCTCATCCTCCTCCTTTTCCTCCTCCTCCTCCTTCTCCTCCTCCTCCTCCTCCTCCTCCTCCTCCTCCTACTGCATCCTTCGGTCACGGGCTGCACTCTGAGCACCAGAAGACCACGCGCAGAAGACCACGCGCGAGCAGCAGAAGGCATACCGCCGTCGAGGGCGACTTCGCTCGGAGCTGGAGCAGGCGGAGAAGAACTTCTTGGATCGTCCGTTTGGGGTCTCGCAGGTGGAGGACCGAACCAGGGAGAAGCTACGGCGTCATCCTCTCGGCGCACATCAAGTACGCGACGGTGGAGGAAGCAGGTCCATGCTCCCCATTGTGCATTGTGGCGTTGCTCGGCGATGAGGACTTAGAGGTGGGCACGGGCAAACTCTTTGACCTGGACGACTGCGCGGACGTGGTCACGGCAGAAGACATAAAGACTTGGAGAAGCGCAAGGCCGACTTCGTCGAGGAAGCGAGGACGGCGGCCAAACAGGCCTTCGCATCAGCAGCGAAGAAGCTCAAGGAGCAGAAGTCGGCGCAGCAGGCGTGGCTCGACGAGTTGCGGAAGCAGAAGAAAAGAAAGGCCGAGGAAACCAAGCCGCAGGGAGATGGAGTACCAGCAGGAGAAACAGCACCTGGGGAGCGCCCGCTCCGGCGGCACCGGCGGCAGCCACATCATCGGCAAGCGCGGTGGCCCCAGCAGGCGGACCCACAGGCGTCGAGGCGACGAGCGGCAACGAGTGCGAGGAGGACAAGCTGCGGAAGGAGAAGGACGCTATGGCTGCTGCGACGCCGGCAGCAAGGGCGAAGGGCAGCGGCCGCAAAGGCATCCAGCCACGAGGTGGGTAACCACACCATCTTCATGCATCACATATCGGCGTGGGGCCCTAGGCCCAAGAGGAAGCTCGACAACTTGAAGGACGACTTGGTGGTTTTTCTCCAGGCGCACGTGAGCAGCCCGGGGACCAACGAGATTCTGCAGTTCATGGATTTGCGCGGTTGGAAGGCGGTCGTGACTCCAGCGGAGCTGGGCAAGCGTAGCGAGCTTGCAGGTGGGATAACCGAAGCGGGCGGGCAACACTTTTCGGGTGACAAGTTTGAAACACCTAGTGGCGGAGCCGACACAAGCAGTGGGATTGCTGCAGTTGGATTGCGAATGGAAGGCGGGACCCATAGGTTTCAAGGACCTCGCAGTGCTGAGCTGGAGGTGGACAGGGCAGACGGCGACGGTCATCGGCACGTACCTCGCATCGTCAATCGGCATGCCGGGCGTGAACATGAGGAAGATGGCGAGGATCGCATCGCTGATGCGGGGTCGCAGCGGGCCGTGGGCACCGATGGGTGTTTGAAATATGAAGCCACATCGGTTGAAGGAGGCGAGATGGCCAGGCATCTTCGACGCGGGGATGCGCGCGCCAGAAGACGTCGCGCACGCGCGCGCGCGGAACCCAGAGAGGATGCCCGACCACGCGGTGTCATCGAAGTCCTTCCTGGCATTTCCCAGCCGCGCAAGCGAGGACCAGGTGGGCCCTGGAGACCGCCGCGGAGCGCGAGAGCATATACGAGGCGACGCGGCGGCAACAGCACCGAAGGCCCCACGCTCGCCGAAGGCCACCCTCTTGCCGAACGCGCGCAAGCGGAGGGCCGACCCCGACAGCCAGTGGTCGCGGAAGAAGATGGAGCAGGCATGCTGGGCCGCGAGGGAAGCAGAGCTGGCCAGCGAGCCAATGGAGCACCCCTCCATCCAAAGACCAAAGGCGGGCGAGCTCGAGATCAGTTGCCAGGAGGTGCCCGGGATTTGCTGGAAGAGCGCCAACGCGGAGGACAGCTTCGGCGACTTCGAGACGAGCGACGAGGGGGGGGAGCAGGGCGCCATCGAGGGAGCCGAGGCGCAGGAGGCGAAGGCCCAGGATAAGGATACCGACGCGATCGTCGACTTGAACAAGGGCGAGAGGGACGCGCATTGGCAGGTCAAGTTCGAGACGGCGGCAGAGCAGGACCGACAGGCGCGGCGCCCGCCACCGCAATGCGCGAAGGACACGGCGGCGCACCAGTTCGACGGCGCCGCGCCCAGGGGGCTCGGCAGCAGGCACGGCAGCTGGGCGCGCGCGGCAGAGCAGTTCCACGTCGCGGCGTCGCCGTTCGAGCCGAAGGACCGCTGGCGCAAGTGCGGGCGCGAGCAACAGTTGAGCTTCGACCTCAGCGCCGTCGAGCTCGGGATCGGGGTCGGGGCCGACTGGGGCCAATCCATCGGGTGGCGTGGAGCTCCAGCGCCGCGAGGGGAAGGAACCGATGGCGTCCAAGCTGAAGAGCCCGTGCATGGGCATCGCCAGCACGATGCCGACTGGCGGCATCGCCCAGACGTCGGCGCAGCATGAAAGGAATTCCGGGGGTCTGCGTTACGCGAGATCAACATCATGAACAGCGCGCAACTGCAGCAGCCGGGGCGCCCACCACGGCGAAGCAGGCGCACGGGGGACAGGGGGGCGCTGATCGGCAACGCAAGCTGGGCGCAGGAGCCGGATGCGATCGGCGCAGGGAAGCTGCATCAGAAGACCAGGGCCCAGCCAGGGCTCGACAACGAGATCCGTGCCAACGGCAAGGAAACGCACAACATGGCGAAGCACATGGACGCGAAGGGGGCGCAGTGGAAGACGAAGTGGACGAGCTTGACACCGAGAGCGCAGTTGTTCCGCGCGCTCGACCTCACGAGGGAGGCGGCCATAGGGGAGGACTGGGCGCCCATCACCACGGAGGCGCTGGACCGCGCCATCGGCGCGATGGCGAAGAGCAAGGCATTGTGAGCGAAGCAGACGGGGGCGCCAGCGCTCAAGCGCTCGCCACCTCGCGCGAGCGAGGGGCCGAGGCAGCGGGCCGAGAGCGTCGCGCGCATGGGCGCATGGCCATAGCAGTTGCCCATCACGTTGGTGAGTTTGCTGGGTCATCGGGCCCCTGCCAGAGGTGGTGAAGCTCTGGCCCAAGGTGCGCAGCGAGTGCGCTAGCGAGCGGGCGAAGGCGATGGCAGGCAAGCGGGGCGCGGCCATAACAGGCAAACGCGCGCTAGAGGAGGCCCTGGTTCGGCTCATCGCCGACGAGGTCATCCAGCGGGCGCCACGGAAAATCTCCACGGCCACGGCGCTCTGGGACTTGGCGGAGTTCGACGACACCTTGGAGCCAGCGCTGATCTTGGACGAAGGGATCAGGCCCGGGCTACCAGCACGCACTTCGCACCTGGAGGTCCTCGCCGACCTGAGCAGCAGGCTCGCCAGGGAGAGGACAGAGCACGCGGAGCCCATAGCTCCCGAGAGGCCCATCCGCGCGAGCGCCAGGAGGTGCGCGCGAGCGGTGCTCGAGAAGGCGAGCTGCACGTTCACGCAGGCGCACGCGCGCTCGCGGGTCGACGACGTCACCGCGAGGACTGAAGGGTCGAACGCCCAAGTGATCAAGCAGCTGACGGGGGCTGGAGTGGACTTCGCAACAAGTGTCAAGAAAGCGAAGCTGGCGTTGTCCAAGACGCCCCCGTCATCGGCAACGACAAAGAGGTGGCGCTGGAGATGGCGCGCAAACTGAGGAACCGCAACAGCACGGTCACGCCGAAGGACCATGCGCCCGACCCCGTCATCGGCAGGGGCAACACCGCGAAGGGCAAGAGCAAGCACGCGAGGACGACGGCGCTCGCGGACGGGCCAGTGGAGAAGGCCACGAGGATGCTCCAAGCTGGGCGAAGGACTCCAGGCGGAGCGCGCGCAGCGGTGCACGGGGGCTCGCTGCCGAGGGCGGCGCACGCGCGCAAAGTATTCGGCATTGCGCCCTCGGCGATCACAAATTGGAGGCGGGGGCTAGCAGGCGCGATCGCGCCTCGGCCGAGCGGAAGGTGCCGCGCCGCTCTGGCGCAGCTGGAGCTGGGGCGAGGCGACCCAGGGCACGGGGCGGTCTCTCCGCTGCTGGACTCTTGGACGAACAACATCAGCAACGACGAAAAGGCACAAGGCTTAGCTGATCTGGGAGAGGATCGCGAAGGAGATGAAGGCCAAGAAGGATTGCGATCGATGGCGGGGGGCGACGGGAGTCGCTAGGGCGACGGCTTGCACGATGCCAGACCTGGGCGGGGCGCCCCATGGCCCACGCATGGCATTGGGGGCCAGACAGCGGCGGGGTCTTCGGAGGCGACGACCCCAAGGAGCTGGCCGACGAGGTGGACGCGAGCGAGCTGGAGGCGGCGCTCGCGGACACCGTCGAGCGGAAGCAGTGGGCCAAGGCAGCAGGGCACTACGCGGGGATGGTTTGCAGGACGGCGCGGATATCCCCCCCGCGCTGGGGGTTGCTGAGGAGGCTCAGGAAGCAGGGGAAATTCGGCCAGGTCGGGCCCACGCAGGCGATCTTCATTGGCGGCATCTGGCCGCGGCAGCGGGTCGCCGACAGGAGGATCGAGGTCGAGAGCGCGCGTTGCCCCAGGTGCGAGGAGGAGCCAGCATCGCATGCGGGGGCGCAGGCGCAATGGCATCATCCCCGAGCGCTAGAAGCCCAAGCGCCCAAGCGCTTGGGAGTGAAGGCCGACGAAGGGGGTCGAGAACCAGCCGCGCCTGTTGCTCAGAGGCAGCTTGCCCGATGGCTGGACGCAGGTCGCGGCGCCACCTGACCCAGGAGAAGAACTGCGCGAGGTGGTCGGGGAGGCCCTCATGGACATCAACGAGCGGGTCTACACGGCAGGCGACGCCTCGGGGGGCGCGAGAACACCGATGGCCCGAGGACGAGAAGCATCGCGCGAGGCTGGATCGTTTTCAACACGGAGGTGCACGGAGACAGGTTCACCATGGTGGGCGGTCACGGGGGCATGGCAGGTTGGCCGCAGAGCGTCAGCCGAGGTGAGCTCACAGCGATGGTCGAGATGATCGAGTACCTGCAACCGCACAACAAGATCAAGTACACCACGGACTCCAGCTGCGTTGCCAGGGGGGCGGGTCGGACTCGCGAAGGGAAGTTGCCCAAGGCGCACAAGGACTTCCTGGCAGCGGTAACGCGACGCGGCCAAGCTGGAGGAGATTGCGGCCGCGCAGGTCGAGGGCAACATGTCGGTGACGGATGCGATAGGGGGCGGGGGTTGACAGTGACGACTTCGCGGGCGACCACCTCGCCGACGAGTTCGCGGGGGGGCGTCGCGGAGGAGATTCGGGCCCCCCAGAACGAGGTGCGGAAGATCCGGTTCGCGGAAGAAGTTGCGACGCAGATCCGCCAGAGGGCGCACGCGATGCTCATGGTGGCGATGGAAGCGGAACCATCTCAGCAGCCCACCGTCAAGGAGCGCAAGAAGGGGAAGACGAAGCTCGAGAAGCGCAAGCAGCTCGTCGCCCACACCGAACACATCATCACAGAGGACCCGAACGCGAAGCATTCCAAGTGCGAGCAGCGCGGCGCGAGGTGCCGAAGCACGAGCCGGACGCCTGGTCGAAGGAGCCATGCGCGGAGTTGGCGGCAAAGTTGTTGGCGCGAAGCTGAGCCAGGACGCCCAAGTGGGCTTGCAGAAGGCGCGCGGAACGCATCTCGCGGAGCACGACGCAACCGTGGAGGGCCACTACTGCACCGCGAGGGAGGTGATGAAGGACATGGCCAAGCCGCGCAGCGGCATCATCAAGCAAGCGGGGATCCAGAACTTGGCGCGGATCAGGAAGGGGCTGCAGCCTGGCAGCGTGGGCGCAGGCCCACAACGCGGCCAAGACGCTGGCGATCAGGAAGCCGAGCACTGCTGGCGCTGCGGCGATCGGGGTTTCCAGGGCTACAAGGGCGACTTCTTCGAGTTGAAGTCCATCATGGACCTCATTGCCGCCGTTAATGGCGCTGGGAGTGCTGGCCCAGCCTCGGCCTCGGGATGCGCCGCATCCTTGCCACAAACCAGCATTGTCACCATCAGCAGCATCATCATCGTCATCGTCATCGTCGTCACCCTCATCGCCATCATCATCATGAACATCAACAGAAACAGCATCACCAATATCACCGTCATCATCCGAATGATCAGCCTCGTCCCCATCCTCAGCATCATTATAGTCAGCATCCTCCCCTTCCCCTTCTTCACAACCCTCATCCTCATCCTCATCCTCTTCAACGACGTGCGCTCCTCCTGCTGGCGCTGGCACTGTTGGCTTCTGAGTTCTCCTGAACGCAGCCATCCCCCCCAGAGAGTTGCCATTGGGGGGACCCCGCGGGGGCGAGGTAATTATGTCCCTCAGCACCCTCGGGGGGAGGGGGGACAAGGAGAGGGGAGGGCTTGATGGTAATGTAATCATGAGGAGGGAAGAGAGGGAGGGAATTGCGACGTCGCGGCAAAAGACTTGCAGGTTGAGGCTAAGGTTTGGCAAAAGGCTGGGCCAAAGGTGGGTTTGGGTGCCAATGGCGAACGGGGCTGGGGCCACGCTCGCCAAGTAGGATGATCGACTAGGTTTAAGAGTGGCCCTTCGCCGGTATGACCTTTCGTGAGGCACATTGGGGTCCCCGATTGCCGAAAGCGATACGATAGTAGCGTCTTGCGCGCCCGTGGTTGGTCACCCCGCGTTCCCCAAAAAGCCGCGCACCAAATGTCATTCTTACCCAGGGGCACTCTTGTGTGTAGCCGAGATGGCGCCAGGGCCTCTCCCCCCAGCCAGACGGCATCCCAGCAGGACGGCCCCCAGTGACCCGCCCAGGCGGGCGAAGGGCTCCTGAGGGCGAGACGGGGGGCTACCTGGGGATGCCCACTGGGTAAGGAGAGGTCTGCGCCATCCTGTGGCGGTGGCCCAGTGCAGTGGCATGTATCCTCGCCCACCCGATCCCAGAACCCAATGCCCATCGATTGCCAAGTAGGCCGCGGCCTCGCAGAGTAAGGTCAGGCGGGGCGTCTGTGGCGCAGAGTGGCACGTGCGAAACGAGGGAGTTGAGGCGAGCGGGGCGTTACGAGGAGCCTCGGTCGCCGTTGCCGCAGGCGGCCTGTGGCGACAGTCCTACCAGGCAAAAGAAACCGCCCTTACCCACTCCTTCGTCCACGGTTGGCCGCGGCGGCGCAGGGGAAGGAAATGGCACGGGTGGCGGAAGTAGGGCCCAGAAGGGGTAGAGCCAAAAGGGTGGGATGGCAGCTGCACGCGAAGCGTGGGCGGTGGACGCCTCCTGAGCGGCGTGGTCTCCTCCTCCTCCTCCTCCTCCTCCCTCCTCCTCCTCCTCCTCCTCCTCCTCCTCCTCCCTCCTCCTCCTCCTCCTCCTCCGCCTCCTCTCCTCCTCCCTCCTTCCTCCTCCTCTCCTCCTCCTCCTCCTCCTCTCCTCCTCCTCCCTCCTCCTCCTCCTTCCTCCCTCCTCCTCCTCCTCCTCCTCCTCCTCCTCCTCCTCCCCTTCTTCCCTCCTTTCTCCTCCTTTCTCCTCCTTTCTTCTCCTCTTTCTCCTCCTTTCTCCTCCTCCTTCCTCCTCCTCCTCCTCCTCCTCCTCCTCCTCCTCCTCCTCCTCCTCGTTCCTCCTCCTCTCCTCCTCCCTCTCCCTCCTCCCTCCTCCCTCCTCCCTCCTCCCTCCTCCCTCCTCCCTCCTCCCTCCTCCCTCCTCGCTCCTCGCTCCTCGCTCCTCGCTCCTCGCTCCCTCCTCCATCCTCCCTCCTCCCTCCTCCCTCTCCCTCCTTCTCCTCCCCCTCCTCCTCCTCCTTCCTCCTTCCTCCCTTCCTCCTCCTCCTCCTCCTCCTCCTCCTCCTCCTCCTCCTCCTCCTCCTCCTCCTTATCCCCCTCCTCCTCTTCTTCCTCCTCCTCATCCTCCTCCTCCTTCTCCTCCTCATCCTCCTCCTCCTCCTCCTCTTCCTCCTCTTTTTCATTCGTGGAAGGGATGCCCGCTCCCGACCCTCCGCAGCCAAGGTCGCAGGCGGGCCGGCGCATCCGGGGCCCCGCGCCCAGCCCGCCCGGCGGCTCCGGCGGGGCCGCAACGCGGTGCAGAGCGACGCGGAGGTGCGGGCGGGATTGCTCGAGCTCACCAGGAGTTGGGGCGAGGAGGGGGGAGGAGGAGGAGGAGGAGGAGGAGGAGGAGGAGGAGGAGGAGGAGGAGGAGGAGGAGGCGGAGGCGGAGGCGGAGGCGGAGAACGAGAACGAGAACGAGAACGAGAACGAGAACGAGAACGAGAACGAGGAGGGACGACGGACGACGGACGACGGACGAGGGACGAGGAACGAGGGACGAGGGACGAGAGAGGAGGGACGAGGGACGAGGGACGAGGGACGAGGAGGAAAGAGGAGGGAGGAGGGAGAAGGGAGGAGGGAGAATGGAGGAGGGAGAGGAGGAGGAGGAGGAGGAGGAGGAGGAAGAGGAGGAGGAGGAGAAGAAGGAGGGTCCGTTGCCATTTTGGCTCAAAGTGGGGACCAGGGACTCCCACGGCGAGCGGACAGCCTCCTTCAGGCCATCCAGCATGTCGTGCGCTGGCGGACTTTCACACCTCTTTCCGCTTCCTCCTTTTCCCGCCCCGACGTGGCAGCATGGCCATCGATGGAGTTGGGGCTTCTCTCGCTTGTCTTGCAGATGGGCTGGATGATATGCCGACTTTCGCTTCCCAAGAAGGAACGGGTGGGAGCACGACACCTGGTGGGGGAAGCCCGCACATGGAGGCCAAGAGCAGCGACGGTGACCCTCTCGCTGCTGTGGCAGAGTTTCGTAATTTCGTCACTGACACCAGGTCGGAGCTGCTCGAGGCTGCATCCAAGCTGCAGGGCACCGTCCAGGAGTTCGGCGCAGAAGTTGCCCGATCTTGTGACAGCCTCAGCAAGCACGTGGAGACTCGCTTCGCGGACCTGCAGGCGCTGCAGTACAGCACCCAGGCTGGAGTTGGAGTGCTGGAGCGACAGGTTGCAGAACTGCATCAGCTTCTCCATGTCATCAAGTCCGGGGAGCCTGCCGCTGCAGTTCAAGACTCGTCTGTT